GACACGTCTTTAGTGAGGATCATTGTCAAAATGTTGAAAATGTATTATTTATTTATTTTGAAGGTTTTATGACACCCAAAAGTTATAAATAACCAACCTGACCCTAAGGTGCAAGTTTAACAAGAAACTACGGAACATAAAAAAGTTCATAAAACTAAAAGCTAGAACTAAACGTTTTTAATTTGTTTTGATGAAATATGAAGATTAAACTAAGATATGACTGAAAAATAAAAAATGTAATTTCTCATAAATTGTGATTTACGAACTTAAAAATTGTCAGTCCTCGTAACTTATTCTACTTTACACCGTTGAAGGCGCTAAAAACATATTATATAATATATTATATATCCCACTAAACATGGTGGATGACCAACATGTTTATGACTTCAGGCCTGTTTGAAGTCATGAACTGTCTAATGTTGGAAGTAAACCTTATTTATAAAACCATTTTTAGATCAAAATAATAAAGTGCTTCAACAAAGACTAAACTAATCTAACAAAGGAGACCTTTGTCAGCTGTCTCTACAGGCTCTGAGGCAGGAAGCAGGTAAACCTCATAGTTTGCAATTTAGCAACAATATGTGAAACAAAAAAATTCCTACAATTTAGATCCAGACTAATCTTTATAATACGTGTTTAATCTGTTTGCTGTTCAGCAGGTTGAGTAACACGTTTTTTCCCTCTCTGTGCGTCTTAAGGAGACCCAGCTCCTCAGGATGCCCAGCCCAAAGCAGAGGACAAAGTCCGGCCTGCAGCTCAGCGCCGGCCGGCACCAAAACCGCCCACAGCCAGCGGGTCTAACGCCAGAACCAATGGTCAGACTGCTGCCTCAGCTGCAGACGCACGGGTTCGACCACGAGAAAGGCAGCCGCCTGCAGCCACGCAGCCCTGCAGCACGCCCAGGAGTCAGAGGAGAGCCGGAGGGGGAGGAGGAGGTGGGAGAGGGGGCGGTGGAGGAGGTGGGAGAGGAGGCGGGCGAGGAGCGATGAGGGAGAAGAATCAGGGAGAGCTGAGAGGTACCGGGACGGATCGGAGAGGTGGACGGCTGTGTGAGGACAAGGCCAAGGACAAAGACAAGAACGGACATCAGAGGCAGAGGGACGGAAACGGGCCGAGAGGCCGGGCGGCTGAGGGGAGAGGAAGAGGAGGGACGAAGGTGAGCAGCAGAGGAGGAGTGGGCATCAAATCCAACAACAAGCTGACCAATCAGGAGGTCTACCTGCCTGCCATGGTGGTCCCACGCACACCTATAACAGCCAGAAGCCAGGAGAAGAGCCAGAACCAAGGTGAGCCCTTCTGTTCATCTTTAATTCAATTCAGTTTATTTCTATAGCGCCAATTTACAACACATGTCATCTCAAGGTAATTTACAGTTCAACCAGATCATCCAGTCAAACTGATTCAAAGTTTTTATCTAAGAAAAAACCAGCTGATTTATATTTAACATAAACAAACCCTAAATCAGCGACTTCCGTCTTTATATTGAATGGGAGACGTTTGACATCACCTGCTTATAAGTCAACATATAATCACAAAAGTTATGAAAGTATTTTGTAAAGGTTACTCAGCGTTGGTCTAACTGACTCCCTGAAAACCTGGTTTCTGCTGTAAGTCTGGGCTGTAAACAATCTTTGCTCTGCCTCTCTTGCATTTTTATTTATTTATTTTTCGTTTTTACCTGAACCTGAAATGGGTTCTTTGTTCTTTTGATGACTTGCCTTTTTCTTAATCGTCCTGTGAAACTGCTGGAATAACCTAATGGCTAAAAGGAGCAAATTTTCATAACAGAGTGAAATGAAGGAGTTCCTCCAGAAAGTTGTCAGTCTGAACTCCTCAGATGTTTGCAATGATTTACTTCAGGTTGCTTCTGAGTTTAACTCTGATTGTTTTTCATTGAAGGTCAAAACCATGATAGAACCCAGGAGAACCCTCCTGCTGCTCTGTCCCGGTCCAGCAGCGAGGGGGGGTCCAACAGGATGTCCCTGAGCTCAGATACAGAGGGGCCCCCTCCGGGGCCTCTGCAGCCACCTCTTTCCTGCAGAACCAACCCAGACATCCGTGAAGAGGACGGAGAAGGAGAACCGACCCCCTGTGCTTCCGTCCAGAAACACCCCAGCTCCTCCATGGCGGGCAGAGACAAACCAGAGGCGGGCCCAGGGGGGGACACAGTGGGTGTGGAGATGGACCGGAACCAGGCAAAGAGTGAGGCAGCAGCCGGGCTCAATTATGACTCGGTGAAATACACCCTGGTGGTGGACGAGCACGCTCAGCTGGAGCTGGGGAAGCTGAAGGACTGCCTGCATGGTCACTCTGAGCACAACGAGGACAGCGACACAGAGACCGTCTACCAGTCGGCCAATGAGGAGGAAGACCCCGAGTATGAGGAGGAGAGGAGGAAGAGCGAGGAAGCACGGAAATTAGGTAAACGCATCCTCCTGAAAAAAAAAAAAAAAAAA